GGCGGCAACAAATGTGTGGCAATAGAGTTGAAACCTTCATAGACCACCAGATTTTGTGGTCAAAGCGGTACTATGTATGCTTTCCGACAAAACCAATCATGTTCAGTGGCATCAAAGCAAAACTCAAAATGGATTCATTCATATGGTACACAGCCCTGCAGTCTGTGACCATTTTCAAAACTAAGGATAAGAAGAAAAGCACATCGGCAAACTGGCCAGGTTGGACACATCCAACACTTGGAACGTCCGACCAGTGCATTGAACAGTCGGTCGGTCCAGGATACTGGTGTCTTTGAAGAATTTCTTCGCATAGCTCTTGATGATCTCCACCTCATGGACCCGGCTGACTAGAGACGGTCAAGACCTGGAAGTCGGCAACGACCTGCGATTTGCATCACATGAGAAACAAAGGGTGGTACATGAGATATGATCTCACGCGATATCAAAGTAGGGTTTGGGGTCTGGGGTCAGGAAATCACCTTCCTACTGGTGAAAGAGACTTTCTTGATCTTTCCGAAAGCATAATGTACTCCAGCAAGCTCTCTGATTGACCAACCAACCCATGCAACGCCGGGCTTTTGGAACGCACTCAAGGCATGGCCCCACCAAAGATGAATACTCCCCGAGCCTCTTGTACCAGTCTGTGCTACAATTGGCAAAGGGAAATGCCTTTTTGAGCCTCTTGGTCAATTTTCACGCGGGGAGCATGTTCCAAATAAAAACTATGGCTGGCCATTCCGATTGCTCAACCTGTCTTAGTCATAGATCAATGGAATGACCTGTAAACACCGTCCAAGTGTGAAGTCCTGGCGTCATCCGTGTTCCCTGAGTCGCTTCGTCCAAGATATATCAAATATCCAGAAATCCAGCAGAATCCAAGCTAAAACCGTTTGTTTGCATTTTCATCGGATCGCGCAACTCACACGCAGCAGACTCACACGACCCATTTCACTCGAACGCTGCCACGCCATGTCTCGGTGCCATTCGGTGCCCGGGCTCGTTGATCCGGGTTGGCTAAGGATTTGATCCGGTGGCCTCAAGGCTTCTTCCCACCCGCCCGGCGCGAGACCCGTGGATCATCCCTTATGTTTTACTTCCGCAAACACTCCATGAGACTGGCATATTTACATACATTGGGAAGGTTTCAGGGGTTCAATGTACGCATATCGACAAACAAGTGTCTGCTTCTTTTTTTAGCCCGTGGTCCAGGACCACGCAAATCACGCGTTGAAACGATTGGGTCAGGCTTTCTTTTCCATCAGTCATGACGAAGCTATCCAACTGGGTAGATTGCTTGCAAACGATATGGGTAGCTGACAATAGTTTGTACATATGGGTACCAATTACAAATATTTATGGGTACCACATTAAAACTACAATAGTAATAATAATTATACTAATTAATGTAACAATTCCATATGGGCACCAATTATTTGTCAGATTCTCCGTTGCTTTTGGAATTATTTCTTTACAATGGCACCGGCCATGGCGCCTCCGCCTTCTCAGCGATCTCTGGGGTTTTCGCGAGTGGACCCGGTCCTTTTTGGCGATCCCAAAACATTTGGTTGGCCCCCCAACCTAGTAGCTTCTAGCCCCCCCTAGTAGCATCCTCGCTCCTAGTAGTACGGCCAGGAGCTACTAGTAGCTTCTTGTTACTAGGCTCTTGAAGCCTTCCATGAGGAACTAATCAGGAACTAAGACTTCGGACACTTTGGATATTTCATCGAGCACAGCTCAACCCACAAGACGGCCCCTGCCACAACTTCCACCACTTCAGTCGCAGGCCAACTCCCATGATGAGCTTGTTCTGCTTCTTGCATTGGTCGACAAAGTCCTGGCCCCAAGTTGTGTTGGCTGGAGGTGATCAACACTCTACTCCGACCCCCCCTCAGGTCAACTAGGGCAAAATACACCATACACCTTCGAAGGGATCTCCAACGGAATACCCTACGACACGTATGTGGATGAAAATGATGAAGGTCCAGGTATACACTTGCTCTGCAAACTGAAGGGTCATCCAGGGCGTGGCATGGTGAATCACCAGCCCCCCCGCCGATCTCTCACACAACTTGTGAGCTGAAAACGATGTCCAAAGCAACCGCCCGCACACCGCTGAGATGCCAAGTCTTTGGACTGCAGTCCATTCGATGCTGAGAACAAATTTAATGAAACCCAACACTTCATTTTCCCGCAAGGATGGCGAACTGAATGAAACAAAATCATGGAATTACAGTAAATTGACTCTGACATCCATATGGACCAAATCCATAGGGCTTTGCCTGCTAACCTCGCACGTCTTCCTTGCAACCCTCGGTTACGCACGCACGCACTCCTTGGGGGAGACGCCACTATCCCGTGCTGCAGCAAACCTCGGAAACTCGATTGTTTGAGTTCAACACAAGTTTGAAGCGCAAAATGACCAGCTGATCTCGGTGTTCACCACTCAGCTCATCTCAACACCATCCAGCTTGGTCATAGACCTAGTCTATGTGACCTTTCGCAGAGGAAAGGACCATGGGACCTGACTTGAAAGAGCGGTGAATGGAGAGGACCTGACGAAGTGACGGCCCAGAGCCTCTAATCTATCTACCTATCCATCTACCTACCTATCTCTCTATCCAAATATCCATCCATCTATCTATCATTTTATATGGTATATGATATATGATTTATGACATATGATATTATACCATAACATAATAATAACATATAATGTAATCATATATATATAATACAGTATGTAAACATTGTCGTCGTTGAAATTGCGGGTTTCGGACCAAGAAGGAAACATTACACTGCGCTAGGTTTCCCATAAGAAGCATGGCTCGCTTTCTTTTTCGGGCAAACCGTGAGATTGATCGAATGTGCTTTGAAATCTCCATCGACTAGTGGATTCAAATTCCGTTTTCCAGACGAGCTGCGGGTTTCTGGGGGACCTACTCTGTAAAGCAGGATGTTCCTTAAGGTGTTTGCACAAAGACGTCTAGACAACGTTCAGGTGTGCAATAATCTTGTTCACTGGTTGAGATTTCAAGAAGGAGCTAGCTAGTTGATGGTACATGACGGTACTTAATCGTGTTGGAGGTTCCTCATGGTCCTACTCGATTAAGGTCCTCAAAAGCAAACAATCTTCTCGCACAGATGTTGGAAAACAAACAAAGCAAAACATGAACATCAGGGACATGTATATATATATATATAACTAATTATATCTATATCTTATGACAACTGTTGAGATGTGACTTAGTCCACAAAACCAAATTATCACATATTATCACATCCTATTGACCATGTCTATCAACATGCTGGCCTCGGTATCCGAGCTCGCTCCAGGGAGGGGTGCTTGCGCTGCGCTTGCGATACTCATCCATCGTCGAGCAACATCTTCGCAGCATCATCGAGTGCACCACCGAAACGGGGACCGATGGTCAATAAGCCTGCGTTCGCCGGCAGGTCAATAAGCGCCGTGTTTTTTTTAATCGATGACATTCGGATGAAGAAACATGCGTGCTGAAGAGGGGAGGATCGCCCAAAGGAGTGAAATCTCTGGGAATCTCGGGCAATCAATCTCAAGGGCTCCGAGGAAAGTCATCCTCTAAAAGCTCCGTTGCCAAACGCTTCGTCGCCAAAATCGTCTGTTTCTTCAATCCGACCCACTCCGCTTAAACATCGACGCATCAATTGAAGCGGGGATGGGTCGTTCAACGGTCGCCCGAGCAGTCCAGGGAGCGAGTTAGACCGGCACCAGGCTTCGTAGGTCAACCAAGGTATCCTGGTGCCATGACCCACAGCCAGATTGAACCACTTCCCCCAAAAAAAGAACAACAGCATTACTTGGAATACTTGGACGCATTTGATGGCAAAATTCCCGACGTCACCACTGCATAGGGCGCACCACTGCATAGGGCGGAGACCAAATCCTGACGGCATCGAATCATTATATATCTATATAAAGCCTGGAAGACACATAAAGATTGTGTACTCACGCTCATCACAAGGCTTCTCGTCGAATGGTTTGATCTGAAACTTTCTGCCCTTGTAGTCTTCCAGGAGAATCAATCACCGTCTTGTAGGAGAATCAATCCCTTGTTTGTTCCACTTTTAGATTCTTTGTACATCTAAAAGCTTGCAGGAGAATCAATTCACTTTCAACTCAAGCACTCTTCACCGCCAAGCACCATCGCTCCTTGCCGGCGCGGGCTGTCCTGGCGCAACCATTTGGGGTGTGCATTCTATGAAGATCTATGAATTGTGTGAATATATTGGTGAAGATTTGTGAAGATATTGGTGAGTATCAATGGATATCACTGACATTGACTTTTAGTGTGGATATGGTGTTGTATGGGGGGGGGGTCCTGCGATTCAGGAGCAAAGAGTTGACAGGGACCCCCCAAACATGTTCAAACAAGTGTTTTCCACTCTAACTAAAATACGTAGTTGGTGTCTTCTATTTTTTCAGTTTTAAACATACAAAATACAGCGATTATAGATTCAAACAAACACAATTCAAACATGACAAATCGTCGATCAAACAATTCGTCTCTTCGACTGTCGTTTTGAGTTTGGCAACCACAAACTGGTGCATGGACATGCCCCGAGTCACCAGCCTGAAACAAGCCTAAACATACCGTATTTCAAAACATATGACACCTGATGTAAGTCTAGACTCAGAATTAGTTAAAAGAAATATGTATATATGTTATATATATAGAGAACATTATAGAACAGAACACCAGCAACAACAACAACATCAATTACACAATTGATTCTGCACACATGCTCCACGACATACCCACATCGTCATACCCAAACCATCCATGGCAAATGGGACTGGCATATGACCGCTGAAACCACCCCCGTCAGACACATGGAGTGTTTGGGAGTGGATATGAGAATTACTGCCAATGCTGGTCAACTATATAGCTGGTCAACTAGCCAAAAGCTTTCACATGCTGCTTCGCTTTCCATTGACCAACCATGGTCAGCCGCACACGATGGTATTATGAGCTCCACTGACGGCTGGTCCGTGATCTGCAGTGACCTGAGTCCGCCCGCTCAAATGACATCCTTGCTACGTTCGTAGCGATGCCCTTTGCTCCATTCGTAGCGTCCTTTGCTACGTTCGTAGCAATGCACAAGGTGTCCCAAAGCAAAGGGCAACAAATAAGGCAACAATGTCGTCAATCCAAGCTCAAGGACTGCACTGATAGAGCCAATTCCTACATCTGGTATCAACTGGTTGCCTGAAGCATCCAAGTCTGGAAAACAATTGTAGGCCAGTGCTTGTCAGTTGATGTCCAAACTCGTGCAAAAAAAAAGCACACCGCAGTGTCCATATATGTGTCCATGGTCTGCCTCCGCCGTGAGCTACCTGAAAGATTCCAACGCCCTGACCTAACCCCCACCCGAAGACGTCGTCGCTTCGGCGCTGGGACGAGTGCCATCAAGACCATCTCCTCGGCGCTGCGTCAGTGTGTCTTCGCAAACAGGACACCATAGGACACCATCGACCAGTTAGTTGGTTTGTTGCACAATGGGTGGGATGACGTTCGTACACTGGTTGTTGGGATCTGTGTTTTCACAGATCGTGTTTAAACACTGGCCAAACATGATTTGTTGGATGACGTTGAATCTCCGTGTTCAAATCAGTTGTACAAGGGTTGTTTTGCTCGTGCGTAGCAGGTGCTACCTTGCTCTTCCTTGCACCGTCTCTCTCTCTCTCTCTCTCTCTTTACATGAAAGGATGCCCCGACACGTTCGACAAAAGGCCACGACACGTTCGATCGGCTCAACATGTGCAACCCTCAAAACATCGCAAGAGTCATGTACCGTATGAAGTATCTCCTTCGCAAGCTCTTCCAAACAACCGACCGTACTTTCCCGTTTCTACAAGGGAAACTGGTTTCACTGTTTGGCAAGGAGCAATGAACTTGCAGCAGGCCGGAGGTAGTTGCCTCAACATTGACGCACAAAGCTAAGCATCCACAGACCCTTAAGCATGTCAACATGTCGTGTTGATCTTGGATCTCTCTACCTCACGTACCTGACTCACACCGGCCAAATTCCCATGCGCCCCTGCGGCGCGACTTTCCCTTCCGCTTCCATCCGGCCAATCTCGCATGTCTTGTGGCCGCAATGCGTCTCCGGCCCGATTCTCGATCTGGCCTCCGGAACCATAGCAATGACACAACACCTCCAACACCTGGCGGAGCTGACAAAGCCCAGCAGAGCGACTCTGACTCTTGTGACTCTTCTGATTTCGACCAAAAGAACCAGCTGATCGTCGTTGGACGGGGCATCCTCTCACAGTCGGACGGAGCATCCTCCTTCCACATCTTCCACACCGTCTGGGGCACGGCGGGCGAGTACTCATGATCATTTTATCACAAAGTCACCTGTAACAGTCCAGTGCTCACCTCAAAGCCTCCCCTGACATCACTTGACACGCTTCTTCGACAGACTTGGGCTTCCCTGACCCACGCTTTGGGAGAAGCAGTCGGAAATCGACACGCCACAATAGGTGAGTTCCTGGAGACGTCTCGGTTTCGGTCTCCGGAATTCGGACGGCCGATTTTCTCACGCTCCCAGGATCTGGTGAGTTTGGATATGTGATCTCAGGATCTGGTGGAATGCGTTCCCTTTTGTGAAACCCCTTGATTCCTTTGAGCTACCAGTTGGGAAGGCTTTCACAATCTTTGACAGGGTCTTCATGGTTTTTCTGCTTGTTGAGTCTCTACAAGGAACACTTAAGGAGCACCCCTTTGAACTTAAATTCACAAACAGTCAACTCAGGTCTAGGTGGAGGCCATCGCTATTAGGTTGGAGGCCATTCCTATTAGGTTGCAGGCCATCGCTACAAGGGTGGAGGCCATCGCCGTTAGGTAGGAGGTCTTTCAAACTCTTTCCACCAACGGCGCTTTTTCTCGTCTTCAGCCCCGGAAGACGAAGAGAGGGATTCCCACACATCGAACATCGCCACCACTTCCAGAAGCGCCAAGCGAAGTGCACCTCGTGAACTTTATTAGACTCTTGCCCTATTTGTGGTATTTTGTTTAATAACTAGTATATAAACTAAACACCATATGGTAGTAATTTTGTTTAGTTATTTGGTTCCAAAAACATTTTAAACCACCCGGGGTATTGAAAAAGCACGTATCTTTTGCAACACCTCGAAATCATGTTATCGTGTGTTTAATCTTATCGTTTTCTCAGGTGTTGGGCTCTTTGCACGACCTGACATCTCATATGGTTGGTTGCAATCATCCTACCTGACATTACAAGCCAAAAACGATCAAAACACATTGAATTCAAACATCACGTGGTTTTTTGGGCCGAGCAACATCCGGAAACGGGCCCGTGAGGCTCCTCCCCTCGATCATCGGAGATAGAGGAAATAAAGTTGGCAGGTTTCCTGCGGAGCAGCTGGAGCTTTGAACAGTAGGGGTGTCGGCAAGGAAACACTACCTCACTTTGGAGAAAAAATAGGACTCTCTAGCATATCTGATATCTGGCTGTATTTTTAGTCAAGTGGTAGGGAAGTGCCAATATGTTGTGACATGAAACGAGGCCACCACGTCTTCACGTTCTCGAAATAACGTCTACAGCGTCTTCACTCGCTTGTGCCACTCACGTCTCCTCACCATACCCAGCTTTTTGGCCCAGGTGTAGTCCACGGGCACCTGGCCAGGCCCAGGCAACCGGTCCAGGTTGCCAAGGATGGGACTTACGGTATGGGACTACGGACGACGCATTACGTTGTCTGACTATGACCTGCAAGACATGCCAGAAGCTTGGTGAAAAGAACGCTTCTTTTGCATCGCTCATGTATAATCATCTAGAGATCTCAAACATCTACTACAGCTACAGTAGCTGTCCCACCAGGTTGGAGCACCTGAGGCGTCTCTCCTTCTGGCTCCTGTGACCCCGTTGAACGAGGCGCGTGTTGTTTTTTGGTCCAAAGGATCAATCCGAGGTCTTTACAAATAAAAATAAGAAATCGATGAAATTCGATGAACTATGGTGAAATCACAGGCAGGAACCCCACTTTGCCTTGATGTGAGTGTGTTAAGTCCGTTCAAATGCATGCAAGTCTCCATGATCGATGTGCTGCTCCGGACTGCGCGGGCGTCCTCGACGATCAGCCCGTCTTCCACCATCTGTGTGTACCTGAGGCAAGCAGCAGCGAATACCCAAAGACAGGCAACAAAGCTATTTGCTTGCAGCAATGACAGGCTGCATGCTTCAGGAACAGGAGCGCGTTGCGCGTGACTGTGCAACTTCGAGAAACATGCTGCTATAGCAGTGCCACTTCGAAAGAACAACCAACAAAAACGAGGGAGATTCCATTGGATGCTCTTGTGATCAGGGTTGCAGTATGTTGCAGTTCTACGTCGTGTTTGAGAGAAACGCCGCACTAAGAGCGACACAGGTTGTCGAGGGCTTCTGGCAGCTTGTCAAAGGAGTCAGGCACGATGATTCCAGCTTCCTGTGAACAGAACTCAATGGGTTATTCTCAATCCACGCGTTCGACTTGACGAACAACCCTTGCTTGGAGGCTTAATTATGGTGTGAGAGAGGGGCCGTCTCGCAGGAACCCCGATGTCCAAATCTTCAGATCGCATCACCCGCCTTCATGGCGGCATTCTTGGCCATGGCCGTCTCCGCTTTGCCTCGAGCCTGCGAGGTGCGAGGGCGATGGGCGATGCGAGGGGCTGGTGGCAGCCGATGCGTGGTTTGGAAACGGATGGTATTGAAGCCTAGTACAACAAACATCGCAAAATTGGAGAATCCCTCACTGCGAGTGCGTGTTCGTTTCGGTGAATTTTTGGGCGTTCTCTACGGGTATGGGTCACGATACGAATAGATAAAAAAACACACACACACACACATTTCACAACGAAAGACCTATTGTGGATTGCTCGAGTTGAACAACATAGTATATTTATATAGGTGAATCCCTCACTGCCGGAGACACGACCTCACTGCATCTCACTGCCAACCTCACGCTTTTGGACGTGTTTGAACACGGCACTTTGATGGCCTTCGGAATGGGAACTGGCCTTCTAAACCGAAGAGCGGTGTTTTTCGCGATCGCCCAAGTCCCGCCTGTGCCCCCGCATGACCGAATTGCACCTCAGGCATCCCCAGTCCATGACTGGATTGTGGCAGTCCTGTTGGATCTGCATTTGAGTGTTATCGGTTTAGTACAATCATGGATCTGTGCCAAGCTGTGGCCTCCAGCTCCTGGTCATCAGCTAGAACCAGCGTTGTTCCAAGTGCTTGTAAAAAATGAACAAAACCGGCGAGCTGGTGAGCCCGTGTCGTGCACATATTGGACCTTTCCATTGCGACATACAGCAACTAAGAGTGTATATATATATATATAGTGAAAGGAGACCTTGCCGGTTCGCGGATGGACCCCGATCACTAGAACGAAGCAGGTGAAAACACATTCACGTCTGCTACGGTCCCGGCTTCAGTCGAAAAACAAGACGCGCAAGTGCCTGGAGGTCTGGAAAGCGTGTTGACGTGAATGCAAGTGAAGACAGGATTCACACCAGAAGACACTTGCTAATGTTTCACTGTGACCTTTTGATGAATAGAATTGGAGGACTCAAAGGAAGATTTGTGATGTCAAGTGAGTGCTGTCGAAACCAACATTCAAAACCATAGTGAGTCAAAATCAAACAAATATTATTCCGGAACTTGCGATGGCACTGAGTTAGCAAACATGGCACTTCTCCTAAAGAGACAATCTGAATTGGACATCGCACTGAGCCGCTTGCCCACGCACCAAGCAATCACTGGCGAGCGGTCGGAGGGGTGGACATGGACAACTCGTGCGAATGGTGAGAAGGAAATCCAATTTGAATGCCAGAAACGTGAGAAATCATGTGGAAAACCATCAGCCAGTGGATGCTGAGATAAGCAATCCGAAATCAACCCCTTGAAAAAACTTATAGAATCAGAGTGCAAACGTCACCCATTGCTCCACACGATCTGCGGCTGTGACATCGGGGGCAGAGTCTTCTCGCCGCACCCCCACGCGGCTACGCCCACGGGGGGCCGCACCGGGCTTGGTGATGCGGCCAGACTTCACGGCGTCGATGACGTCGTACTCATCTCCGCCTCCGACCTGCGGCCAGGCGCGAGCGGTAAGCACGGCGAAGACGCTGCGGCTGCTGAGTCGGACGAGCGGCCGAGAAGCGCCAAAGAAACCATGGAACATGAAGAGAATAGACTATAGGATGACATTATAACTATAGAAATAAGTCTATCTGATTAAAAAAGATATTTTAATCAATCTACAACATGCATATACCATAGGGAGGTCTGACCTACCGAGAAACAGGTGACTGATGCCAGTCAGATCTGGAGCCGAATGAATCGAACCAAATAGGACGTCCGAACAAACACTCCGCGCCTCTCCAAGGAGAACAAGAATCTTCGCACCTGGATCGTCCTGCACGTGATCTGCATGCTTCGGGCAGGAAGAACATGGCCGCTACCATGGGGTACTTTTACCCAGCTTGATGATCTGATATATGTTGTTTCTAAACTTGACATGGGGAAACACTGTCTTGCTATTGGTGTTGTTCAACCCCGTTTGCGGGGACTCTCTACAACATGTTTCCGCATCCGGGCTATCAATTTGCCGGTAAAACCCGTGAATGGCTGCAAACAAACAGAAACTTTGCTTTCACGGACCCTTTCAATTACTGTAGTTGTCCTGGTAGCGCAAAAGGTGATCGATGAAGCGGCTTCCAGGGTACCTGGAAGCAGCGGCTTCTTCGTTCTGTGGAGACCAGCGAGGTGACCTTCCTTCATCGTTCGAATGAAACACCCTTCAAACAGGTCCAAAAGCTCCTGCAGTGAAAGTACAAAGCCAAGTGAACCCAAGGCAAGCATCACAAGTCACATATACATGCACACTAAATGGTGATGCTCAATTAAGTAGGTATAGCTACTGCTATAATTAGATAGTATCCCCAAATGACACTTGCTCCAGCAGCCAATAGAAACTCCAATGCAAAGGGTCCTAGTTGAATCCTCAGCCTCTTAGATTTTTCTTCAGTCAGCAAAACATACCAGTCGGATCGGCAACGGTCTCCACTGGCGCCTGTCACCACCAATGGCAACTCCTTCGTACACTCCATTGGAGTTGCGGCAAATGATGTTGTTCTGGCGCCAATCAAATGGGTGCAGTGGAAACAGTATCATCACGGACAAACCGGCATATCATGATCGAGCTATGATCGAGCTATGGGCTGATCTAAACACCCGGCCCAGTGGCATCATTGACAAACTTTTGTGTGTCATTCACAGCCATATAACATGTATTCTATCAATCCTTCGCTGCCCAACGAATTTCACCACACACAGGACACCAACTGAAATGAGGATGTCTGTTCTTCTGTCTATGTTCTTGGCTTAATGACCTGCCTCCCCTTTGAGAGAACCCGGGTTGCACATCTCAGTGTAATAGTCGTAAACCAACATGAAGAACTACAACCAAATGGCAAGCTGGTCCGCCCAACCATCGGGACATGGTTGCTCCACGGTCTCGTACCCTAACGTGGTGGTAGTCTAACGTGGTGGTTGTTCATGAAGGGTTCAATCAAGAACGGTCTCAGAGATGTTTGCCACCAAAAAAAATCTAAGATATGGACCAAACAAAGTATGAGTTATAGTTCGTGCTATATAATCTGAATCAACCCCTACATCACCCCCCCCAAAACACCAGCGGCTTCACCACAATCTTGGGCCAACCACTTCCACCTTCACACTTCCTGCGTCCGACGTGCGTGAAACACCCACCCCTTCGTTGGACCACCCGGACCAGTTCATTGGACATGCCGCCGGACTTGGAGACATAGGCCACCTGATGTTCGGCGGATTTCGGCGACGCTCATTGGAGGCCACCGATCACGGGCCACAAACACACGCGACCGAGTCACGGGCTGTTCGGCGGAGCGATCCAATGAGGATTCGGGGTCCGACCCTTGCATATGAGGGTTTAGGGTCGCGTTTGGAGAGCAAAGCATCAAAGCCAAGATAGTTCCGCTGTTCTCTATCAACGCTTTGTGTCAAAAAGAAAAAGACATTTCGGATGAGAAACAGAAGAGAAAGGAGACACTGGATGGAGAAATGGTTCAAGCCCTGCCGCTACCAGCGACTTTAAGCTCCCACGACCCCAAAATCAATGATTGGCCTGTAGCTTTGCAAACTCGTGCTGTGGGGGTTCGAATTCTATCGTCCATTCGCCCAAGCTCTGGGTTTCTCCACGTCAACTGCTGAGAGCTTTGCAAGAGAGGTTCATGGACACTATACAGACTTGCTTCTCATTCTTCAACTCCTCTTGTCCATCGTTCGGAACGCGACCGTTTTGAAAAAGCGCCGACCGGCACCTCTCTCGGTGGAGCTCGAACGGAGCCCCACTCGAAGTCCAACGTGAAGGGTCCGGGGGCATTGGCAGTTCAGGTCGCAGATGGGTGGAGAACATCACACTTCACATCAAAAGGAGAGCCAAGTATGGGTTTTGACTTTAGAAAAGTTCTTTGCCCGTCTTGGCCAACAGACCCACACACTACTTGCCTCTTCATTCTTGATGCAAGCCGCAAATCTCACTGGTAGTTCTTGAGACAGGGCTGTTTGATGCCGTGAAATGGTTTCGCTCAGGTCGAAGTAGTGAAAAAACCCATTTATTTATTCGACCAGTCTACAACCACCAATTAGCAGCCACCCTCTGCCACCCTACACCAACGCGTAAAAAAGACATGTCACCGTCACCCACATCGACGTGGCTTTGGGTGCGCTCGCTCGTGCATGTCCAAGAGGCAGAGCCCGGACGATAGAGCCGTGACATGACCACATTGTCCAGCATGCCTCCTGAGATTAATGTTTAATAGGGAGACCGAACGAAAACCCGGAGACTGGACGATGTCCCGAACCTGGAAAGGAGGTCATTGCCTGAAATTGTCTCACTATGTCTATAGAATAATAAGAAAACCATCAACAGCGATAGAAATCAGTCACCGGCTGATTAGAAGAAAACACATTGGCCGAAAAGGGGCGATAGAAATCAGTCATCGACTGTTCCCGATCTGGCAAACGGTGTCGAACCCAGCATGATTGGATCCAGAACAAACATACTCATAAATTCATATCCCAAATCGTCCAAAAATCCCTGGTATAGAATCTATATATGCCTAACCCCTGAAACCACTCGAACGATCAACCACTGCATCCGTCTTGCCCTGCCTGTGTTGCCGATGCGAATGCAGCCAGGCCTAGGACTTCTGGACTTGGGCCAAGCCATCAGGTGGTGTCAGGTGCCGTGGTGATTGGGGGTGCGGCCGTCACATCTTCAGTGCTCCAAAGTGCAGAAACAAACAGGGAGGAATGAATGAATGAATGAATGAACAAACAGGGATGATGATGAATGAATGAAGCCACTCTTCAGTGCTCCTGTAAATATTCTTTACAGTTCCCGAAACAAGTAGATCAGTTACCGTGGATCAGTTAGTCTGCAATGGTCATCACCTGGAAGACCATGATTCAAACAGGGTGGTGTCCAGTTCCAAGTCATGTGTTCGAAAGTGTACTGACTTGCATTGTCCAAAGCAACAGTCTCTCGATCAGTGGACCCCCTCTTCCAGAACTCAGGATGACGCGAGACTGTGCAAAACAAGTTGAGTCCAACATTCCCCTTCCAAGATGGTTCTTCTCGCAACCTCCCTTTCTCGCTGTCTTTGCTAAGCAGCAGTCCCCGAAATGGATGATACGAGTAACAAGGGCATTACTACTAGTAGCCAAGCTACTAGCATGCCCTTTTGCTATATAGTTGAAACCCTCACTGAGGAGCAGTCTTGATGCCTCCGACGGTGGCAGGGCCGATCATCCCCACTTCCTTCTTTTCGGCTTCCTGGCATCGATGGAAAGCGCAGGGGTAGATCCGCAAAGGAACTACTAGTAGTTTCTTGTTAGTAGTAGTAAGGTGCCTTGTTACTAGTAGTTTCTTGATATAAAACAATTTTAAACATTCCTGGCGGAGAGCAAAGCAAACATCGAATTTTAGAAAACCATATATATATATAACCAAATCAGCGTCTTCAAATTTGTTTTCACAGGATTCGGTCACAACATCCAAAGTCTATAGGCAAGTGGATTTGCTGCTTTCCTACAAACTACTCTATATCCACTCTCATCCAGAGGTGGCATTTCTTGCTTCTCCCCCACGCCTTGATCAACAATCGCGTCTGCTGCTCAGGCACGCCCTGCATGGCGTCACAGAAAACATATTTGCAACATATCGCACATATGTTTTGATGGACCACCAAACGACCCCCAGTACTGGAAGTGGTGGCGTCTTAGATATACTGGTGGCTCCTGGTGGCGTACGGGCACTCGCGCCCCTGGAGGCACTTCCAGTCGAAGACGCCTTAGCCCCCCCAAAAAGGGATCCTTGAATCTTAAGAGACCATGTTTTGCAATCGATGACTATGGTACTGTTGTGCAATCGATGACTCGATGGCTATCTTCTGCACCGATGACTATTTTCTGTGTGCAAACACCCTGACAAAGCCACCAAACATCTACTTTGCAGAGTTAACGCTCTCCCCAGTGGCCCTGCGGGTACTACGAAGCGCTGTAAATACCACGCACATGTTTAGAACTCGCTATGTTTCCCTCACGTCTTCCCTCACGTCGATATTGGGACTGGTATACCATAAACAACCGTACGGATTGGAAACCGTACCCTCTTTTGCAGGTTCTCATGTCAAATTCATTGGTAAACGCAGTGCTTTGTCATGTGTATTGCCTAAAAATATAGCGGTTTTTTCGTGACACCTCAAGTTGCCTAGCAAATCAGCGGCGGCGCACTCATCCGACATGGAGCTGCTACAACTACGCAACAAAGGCCAACTCAACACCAACAGTCACCAACAGAAAAGGACTTAGTTTCTGCTTTTCGACAAAGGAAACCTCAACCACACATTGCACCAAAGTGTGAACAACGAAAAACGAGTTTCTAACACCTGCTCCCAGTTTACCCAGCCACGATCTGAACCCAAACCTGTTTCGTGAACAAAAGAAACTCAAGGGTCAGAACAATCACGAGTTAAGCCGTCTACGTACTGGTCTAAAGAAAAAAGGGCTGACGCACCACAAAGGAAGAAAACACAAAAACGAGGAGGACAAGGAACACCCGACAACCGAAACAACAAAACTAAAGCACACACCGTGGCTACGTCTTGAGCCTTCATGCTCATGAGACGTGTGTGAAAACAACGAAATTACAGCACCCCCCCGTGGTTTCTGTTTTTGGGTCCCTGTTTACGCTATTGCTTCAACTTGGTTACAGTATTTTGCGATATGATATTACGCAATGCATTGACATGCCATAACATTTGGCTCAAGGTATGTGCGTGTGAAAACAGCCGCTCGATCGCCTTCGCTCACTCGCTCTTGTGAACCTTGTTGGACTGTGAGTTGAATCCAGGGATACTATGCATTACACGCTCCACTGCGGGGAATTTGACCCTCACCCCACCCCCCCACCCCCCCCAACACCATGCGATGACATGACTAAGCGTCGTGGAGTCCAAAAATGTCAGAAAAGTGGGTCCGGATTTCAGTCCCTAGGCATAAACAAGGAACAACATAGATTCACTCATTCAAACACATCCCTTTACCTTGATAATCAACAGCTACATTCACTTGACAAGCAACTTACGTCTACCCCACAAACAAAATATACACATCAACTTGTATATTTTGATATATTTTGGACACAACATACAGTATGGCCGATGTTCATTGCAATAAAGCTGCAAATCAGAATCACGTTAGTAGTCAAAAACCCACCACATCATACCGCTCACCATACCATATTCTACGGCGCCGAAATATTCCATGAAAAAGCCGTCCTTTCAACATGTTTTCTTCGTTAATCTTTTTAGAAAGCACACAGGACCGCAACGCAGCCTCGATCGGAGGCAACCAGTCGATCAGGACAACGACAGCGACGGTCTCCGATCGGAGAGCCCAGCTCGCTCCGTCTCTCTCGCCGCGCCACGAGGGGAGACTGCCGCGCCTCCGCAATAATGGCCACCTGAGCGTCGTATAGACCGAAAGAAGCGCGGAAAAGCGATCGAAACTCAAACTTCCACGTTCTGGGGCCAGATGCAGGGGTTGGTCACAGGAAAGCAGAAGAAGCTGGATCTAGGCCCAGGCTTGGTTCCTTAGGTATTGGTGCTGTACAGGATAGGTTAGGTGCGTGTGTGTGTGAGCCCGAACTTTGCTACCTTAGGCCAGAAACAGACGTGAGGCCCGAGACGTGAGTCTGGCAGCCTGGCAGCCTAGAGGCCTTCTAAGAAAGCCAACAGGCTTGCTACGTGTAGCTTCTCGTTACTAGTAGTAAGGCCAGGAGCCCCGTTCGTAGCGTCCGATGGCTCCGTTCGTAGCGATGCCCTTTGCTCCGATATAGTAGCTTCTTGTTACTAGTAATGGCCTCCACCCTAGTAGCGATGGCCTCCACCTAATAGCATCCTTGCTACTAGTAGCGGTCGAGGCCAAAGATTGGGATAAAGAGCTGTGGTATAATTCTGGTACAAGATGATGCACTCGCAACGTCCCTGGCCTTTTCATCAAACGACACCGAACGGTGGATAGTGTTTATCAGGTCACTGTGTGTGGTAGCGATCTCTCTTCTTTGAGGTGGGTCTCTTATGGGCTTCATACGACATCTGCGTATAGATCATCTCAGATCGTCATATGGTTTCAGACATATATATAATATATATATACCTTCTCAGATCTCAAATGTCTATAGACCCATCAAACATGATCTTCTCAGACCGTCATGTATAGAAATCCAAGTGCCCTCTCAGAAGGTGATATGTCCAACACTGTTATTTGCCGGTGCCAGGAGGGTCCAGTCACACATTCTGATGAAGGTACGACCGGATTGTTGGGGAAAGGATTTTTATCATCGACGGTGCTGGTTGGGATCTTGAGCCACCAACGTTGGGCCCTGCGCTTGGTTCCTTTATTGCAACACCCGGGCCTTTTGAAAAAGCTCACCCGCTGTGATCTGAGATGATCTGAGAGATGTCGGTAGATCTTCATGGCTTCTCTCCGCGCGGCCCAGAGGGCGGGAAGGGAAGAAAGTGACCACATGGTTTCTTTCGTGACATGGTGTCGCGCTTGAACATCGGAACGGACCCAGGAAGCTGGGAAAACCTGAAGATCGGGGAATCAACGAACATGCAAACAAACAAAGCAAAGTAGATCCACAGACCTCCTGATCATGCAAGCATGTGAGCTTCTATGTCAATGGAATCCATGACAATGCCGAGCTCGAGTATCAGCACTTTGACAGCACAAACCCTGATGATTCTACTCCACTCCACCCTGGTTCAGTATATATATATATATATATGTGTTTGCTCTCTCTCTCACTCTCTCTCTCTCTCTTGCATTCCACAGAACCCCTCTGAGCACCCGTGCAGTCTTGATCTGTGGGTACTCCATGGCTTCCTTTGCAGGTCCAAAACCGTTTCCGGAATTCATATCACAAGTGGGCCCCCCGGAAGTTCGTGCGTCCCGCCCGTGGGGGAGGCCAAACAGGAAGCCACATCGGTGCGCAGTTGTCCCATCCCCTTGCCTCGGGTCGGCGACAACGTTGGTTATACATTCCAATGGACGTCAGGATCACCACCGAACCAGAAAGGGTGCGACATCTTCCACTCTTCAAACATCGAAAACACTCTCTGAAGTGGACAAGGTCGACCCCTTGCGGCAAATCATTGTCCTCTAATTACAAACCGGTGGTGAACTCCACTTCAATGATTCCAGGGAGCATAACACTTGTGATTCCTGTCATGACACTCAGATGAGGGAACTCATGCCAATTGTTCAGGGTTGGTCGCACAACGTCCATCCAAGTTCCTCAGCACATGCAGTTCCTCTGAGTGTTTCCAAGAGTTTGAAGTTCCTATGAACACTTGTCTAGGGGGGCCAGTGCAACTACAATGCATGAGCAGAAAAGACCACTTTGTGAGATGAAGTGAGATGCGATGATTCAATAACTAAAGTTGCCAGTACTTGAACATGTGTTTGAAGTGTTCCTCTGAACCAACATCACCTTGTCTGATCAAACGATCACTTGTGGAACCACAGACTCTTGGTTTCATCCGCCCCCATCTTCCCTCGGCCCTGGTGCAAAACCGAGCGGCCATCGTCGTTTCATAGACCGAGCGAAAGGAGGCAAAATTGATGAACCTTGGCACATCTCCCGGATGAATGACGTGACGTCTGGCACGAAGGGAATTTTTGGATGGATGGATGGATGGATGATCGAAGGCTGGGAACAGCATGTTGTGATATGTTGTGAAACACTGGGCGATCAGAAACTAACACGTTTGACACGTTTCAAAAGATCAACTCTTTTTGGCATATAGAGGCTTGTCTTTCAAAAGGGGCCATCATGCCATGCACATGCTGTCTGTCATTTGACGCAAACCATCATAAACCTATAGATAGTTACTCCAGTTGAAACTTACTACAACCTGACACACCGTCCATAAACCCTTGTTTCGGACCGTTCCGATCCCCACTCTTGGATGTTATGGCAGAACTGGTCGGATGGAAGACAGCATCTGGGTGTGTAGCTCAGACCTCAATTCCGTTTTTAGGTTCGGTTCCAGAAATAGACCCCGTCTACCCAGCCAGGGCCGGCTGAAAGGGGGGTCTCCCTCTTTTACGCAACACGTGGCAGTTGAGCTCGAACGGAGCAAAGGGCGTCGCTACGAAAGGAGCAAGGACGCTATACGAATGGGGCTCCTGGCCGTACTACTATAGGAACAAGAAGCCACTTGGATTCAAACCAGTCGATTTGTTCTCGATCGGCCTGTTGATATTATATGGACAAACGGAACGACGGAGCGGAGAGACGGTGTAGGGAACTGCGTTCCGAACTGTTTCCTTTGCATCCGTGCTGTAAGGATTTTCAGGAATGCCTGAAAAAGAATCTCTGCATAGGGTTCGGAACCTATCGTGGATTGTCCAAGGCCGGCTTTTGTGTATATATCAAGAATCTTCCTTGATAGTGAAAATGATGCCTCGACGTCACAAGCACGTCAAGACATCTACATGACCCCAGGACAATAGAGAAGTTGAATCCAAACCCGGGGGATGTGGGTTGACAACAAAAAACAACCGATCATGAACAAACTACCTGGTAAACGGTCAACCGGCTGCAGGGTGAACGGGCTTCCAGGTTTGGGATCTCACCTCCGTTGGTGAGTGGTATCATTGGACTCGTACTGCACGTGGCCTCACAGCCGCTGTAGTCCAATCGATCGGTTGCCCTTTTCCGGTTGCCCGGTGGCCGACCCTTTTGACCCGTTTTCTCTGTCCAGGTAGCGTGATGGCATCCGGATGCTTCTGACAAGCCTCTTTGGTGGTGGTATAGACCGGAACCAGGATCTCCTGCAAGATGTTCGCCCAGGTGCGAGCCTTCATAGAACCCTATAGTCTTGTGGAGGGAACAGGATGAAGGCCTGCCTACCCACCCCAGGCCCAAGAAAGAAGAGTACTGGAATCATCATGGAACTGGATGGCATGGCCCCTTGGAAGACGACTGGTGGTGGCTTTCCACTTCCATGATTCCAAGGAGTGTAATGACATGACCAAAAAGGTCTCCAAGTCAAAGGTTTCCAACTGCACGGGCTGACGTGCAAGAAAAGCGCAAGAAAGGGACTTCCAGGGAGACAGAAGATCATGTGTCCCAAGGTCCCAAGCAAAGCGGCTAAAGACCTTGGGTGTGTAGTTCGAGAGGGATACCCCTTGGCCCAAAAGGGGTAGATCAGACTCCTGTTGGAGCTATAGGGAGGGTCTACTTTTTTTGCCGTCGAATCAAGAGAATTCACTACCCTCATCGAGACCCTCAAGGGATTCTCTCTAACCCTCAAGCGCAAATTAGTGGACCTTTCGAGAGTTGCAGAGTTGCATCAATTTCCCCAGGAAGGACCGTGCCGACGTGCAGGTGATTCCTGGGTGTGACGCGTATCTGGGTGCACGTGGTGGTTGCGAGGGAACAACTCATGCATTGCGCAAGCCTTTTGGAAGTGTTCAGCTCAGACTCCAATGCGTCTCTCGATGGGAGCTGCCATCTCAACGTGAACACTCCAAACATCAGAGGGATTCTCTGGCCGGGAGAATCATATTGGCTACAAATTGGTGAATTATTGGCCCAACTAGTTTGGTCTTCGATTTCACTCCCAAGACGCGAACGCTGCGCTGACGGCACTGACTTCGGCGCCCGTCCTCCGTACCCCAGTAGAACTTCACGTAGTGGTTGCCGCTGAAGGGAAAGACCTTTCGGCTTTTTGGGACGCAAAAACACGTCCCAACTCAGTGACCGACTCACGTCCCGTTTTTGGATGCAGCGTTTCTGGGGTCCGGTTTTCTCCGTCGCGTTTCAGGTCGTTGGAAGAAAACACACTCACGGGGCATGTTGAACTCAAAGACATGTATTGAAATTGACTACAGTGGGGTCGCATCAAGTTCCAAACAGCCTGATATGTAAATCTATATATATTTCATTCTCTTTGCGGAAAGAAAACAACCTGATTCCCATCTTCGGAGAAATGGCCCCAAGCTCTACAATTGTTGTTTACGTGGCATCTTTTCTACAATAGTTGCTTTCAGCAATCCTTTCCACTACCAGAAAAGGCACCCACAGTTGTTGACGACGAATCGTTACATATGTCAAAGAAAGCAACCAACGACAATCAGCTGGGAGCACCATGGCACAGACCGAAGGCATCTTGCGCTTGCACATGTGGTCAAAGTCCAACATCCCCTGGAGGCGGCGACAGCGCCAAGTCACCAGATCCAGATCCGGTGTGGGAACTGGCTCGATGCAGTTCACGTTCGGTTTCGATCGAAGGCTTCGGACGGAGGCTTTGAAGGCTTCTATAGTTGTGTCCTCCTACGTCTATAAAGGGTCTCAACCGAAAACCCGAAAACATATTATCCTGACTGGTTTCCTAAACCTCTGCACTGACACAGCACACAAATGTACAGTTCACTTAGGCCCAGCAATGCCTTTGGGATTGGTATCTAGTACTCACCTTACCAGTAGATCACCAAAATGTGCTTGCAAAAGAAACTGTACGCTGAATGTGTGCTTCAACGCCTGAACGTGCAAGCTGACAGTCATATACAGAATAAGATCCGCATAGAATCGCGCATAAGTTGCTTTGACCTCGTTCTATCAATTTCTTCAGCCTCCTCCCCCTGAAATCCATGTTCGCCACGCTCCTGGACGGCACGGTTCTGTAGGCCATAGACGATGGCCCTGGTTTGGGGTGTGGCCGTGACGATGGTATGTTGGTTGCCTAGGAGCGGCCAGGCAATGCCGGGGCACCGAACGACGAACTCGCAAGGCACCGAAGAAAGGAAGGCGTCAGGCGTCAGAAACGGACATATTACAGAAACACAGGAGAACTCCATGTGGTCAGTGTAGTTCCATTTGTGTCCATCTCATGTTTTTGTCCCTGTGAGTTCAAGAATCAATTGTTTCGTAAACAACATGGTGTGCTCGTGGTTGCTTGTACGCTTTGATCAAAAGAGCCCCGTCTTTCACAACATAAAAGTATTGTCGTTTGCTTCCTTTACACTGCAGACTGCAGAAACCTGACCCCACTCACTCCACACTTCCACTGCACATTGGGATACAGAATGACTGGCTTTAATGACAAAGCCTCGACTTGCAGGTGTCTAGCAGCTTCCATTACACCAACAATTGCCAGAAAATGCAGGACATTGGGAATTGTATGGATGTTTGCGATGTTTGCGGAATTTGCCGGAAGTGGCCGTCCAACTCCCTAGTGGCTTGAGAAAAGGGGCTACCGTGCGCATGTATATATTTATATAGAGAGTGTTGAATATTAAACATGTGCGTAGTAGGGCCACCTGCAGAAGACTCCAATGTGAGGTAGTTCCGAGATCCAACTTAGCACCGCACCATTTGCCGGCGTCGTTTTAGTGGGCGCAGCCTTTTTTCTTCACCTTGCAATCCCAGCATCAAACTTGAAAAAAATCAATCACATATCCCAACCAATACTCTTGGAGTCCCTAATCTGAAGTGGAAAACCGCCTGGTAGAGGAACACTTAGTCCAAGGATCCAAGGAGGTGATGCCATCCACTTCCATGATGATTTCAGGCAGTTCTTCTGCTAAACTACACCTTCTCTTGCAGACCCCAATCCACCTGGATCTTCTTGCGCGTTGGTGGGGGTGCTGGACCTGCGTTGAGGTCTGGCCTCGGATCTGCACAACCCAACGAAACAACAAGAACGAGATGAAAGCATCTTCCTATATACTTCAGCTATGGATACGAAAAATGTTTTGGAGCCTCTGTGTCTGGGCATGCTTGGAATCTCTGAAACACGTGCAACTTGCAAAATGACAGTAAACTCCCTTCCGTTGGCATGCTAGCTTTTTGAAGTGTTCACAAAGTTTCCAACTCTGTGTAAACTGGAATGATGAACTATCCGCAGCTACAAGTATGCTGCTGAACGTCCGAATTTCCCATGAACTGTTTGGAATCATCTGCGAAGCCTTGCCTTTTAGGTTCGAGGCCATCGCTATTAGGTTGGAGGCCATTGCTATTTGGTTGGAAGCCTTGCCTCTTACATCTTTTTCATTGGTTCACTGGTTTAGGGTAGAGAGCAACGGTCCCAGGTCCCCCAGGCCTCTAGGTCGCACAAATCAGATTTGAACTATGAAACTTATGTATACAATACCAACAATAACCGTAACAACAATAGTGAACATAGCGATAACATTATTTGATAATAATGATACTAACAATACATCAAAAAATTAAATATATAACTAAATGGTCACACGTTCTTATTAGGGCCCCTGGTTTTTGAGGCTTTCGTCTCGTGGGCATGTTCGTTTTTGTGAACCCTTTCAGTGTTTTGAGGCCTTAGTGTTTGAAAAGTAGGTGAATTACCTGTGCTTTGGGAGGCCAATGAGCATTTTATAGTGTAAATATCAGAGTTTCGTACCCGTTTCAGCGGTGGTTCGTTTCGACGGCCGAAGTAGTTGCCGCAAAGACTTTTCTCAGAGGCTCCCGAGTGCTCTGGTCAGGTCTACATCGGCATCTAAGTTGGAGCGCCACACGAAAGCGTAAACGTAGTTCATCAGGCGCTCGGAGATGCCACCCCCTTTGCGGTCTTTGACCTTGAGTGTCTTAGGCACAGCTTTCTCCAAGCTTTGCCACCATCGGTCGACACATTGCGTGCCGGAGACAACAAATCCTGGACGCTTCCTGCACTTGACCTTCTTGGCAAATTCATGCTTGTTGTGACTGACATGGAAACTTGCCAACTGCTTCTTGCCTTGGTTTGTGGCCCAGCGTGGCCACGCGCGTGCACCATCTGTATGCAACTGTGTAGATCGATTGCCTAGATGCTTATCCAGATCGGTGCTCTGCAAGTCGCTATAAGACTCAACTCCCGGGGATGAGCCTGGCGGCAGCAACTTCATCGGCAAAGGAGCCACAACCGCTGGCCCATTCCTCTTCTTGAGAGCAGCTATGCGCACATAGCCCAACCAGTACTTCGGAAGTCGCTTGGAACCGTTCTGCTTTTTCCATCTGGCAGTGGCCTCTGCAACTTCAGAAGCAAAGGTCGCATTTCCATGACTCACATAAATCTTGCGAAGAGCATGACCATCAAGGACATGTCATTTTTCAACGGCTCGGAGGGCACTATTATTAAAGGTCGAGAATCCCCCACGACTGCCTCAAGGTCTGTTGCCTTGTGGCCGGAGAGCGGAAACGGCCCAGGTCGGGCCGTAAAAGATGAGGCGCTTGCCAAGCCCCTTGACGATCCACAAGCGGCATTCCATCCAGCGTGCTTTGCCGGAAACTTCGGTTGCTACGGCTATAGCGATGGATATGTCCGTACGGTTCTGACCTCGGTCCATCCAGACGAGGTATGGAGGATGCCCAATGAACAGGATATGCTCTTCGGTTCGGTCCATTTGGCCAAAATCAATCAAATCCAAAGCAGATCCTCTTCCAGTTTGTTCCACTGGTTCCGCTTGGTGGTTCTCTGGCTCCTCTGCGTCCGTCAGATCAACGCAATGTGGCACAGCTGTATTCCTGGATTGCCCATGCGACGTTCAGACAAACAATTAGGCTGCCCCAAAAGGCATGCATATCCTGCATCAGAGCTCTGGGAAACACAAAACAATCTAATTATGGTCAAGACTCGGCGCACCCGAGCCATCGATGATAGCAGGTGCCTCCTCCTCGTCTGAAGAAATCTCGAAGACCGTCTGATCCTGGGACGAAGAAAGAGAATTGGCCACTGTATAGGGCGTCTTGCTTCTGATGCCCACAAACTCTGCTAACATGCGAGGGGAACAAAAGACAAAAGCTGAGAGTGATGTGTCAAGTCACGACATCTGGCGTGGCGCTCATCACGACATTTGGTGTGGCACTCATGGTCGGCATTGCGCAGGAACGAAGTAAACGACGGGATAAAACTTGAAGTGCAGCTGTCAACACTGTGTTGGGGGTTCTACCTCGACAAAATTCCAACCAACATCGAAAAAGATTCCCACGTGTTTGTCCAACCAGATCCCAATCTACCCAAGAACGTTCGGAGATCAAACATGTTTGCACAACAAAGTTCAATGTGTCATCCAACAGAGGGGTCGTGAAAATATCAATATATTGATCTAACGTAAAAACGTTAACACGAAAAAGGGGTCCCAAACACTCCAAATCTGTTTGAGGCGGTTGCCGAACACCACACAAACGAAACAACAAAACCAAACACAACACCGTCGAAACATCCGAAACCGTCATCGTCGAAGCCAAAACTTGCAGTAGGTAAGATACAATGTCGGCATAGAACGTATCCATCAACAACCTCAACCGAACCCCCATGAAAATTCAAAACATCATCACCCCCATGGACGTCATTATCCCACCCCCCCCCCATGTCACG